ATATATATATATATATATATATATATATATATATATATATATATATAGTTCTTCCATAAATTTTAAAGTATTGGTCCTTTTTTCTGAATATTTTTTCTAAATTAGAATTTTATATAACAGAGTATCTAATGAGGTACAAAATGACACGTATTAAACATAAGATAGTGACACTTATAATGCTCATCAAAAAGAATTATGATCTTCAGGGACTACAACTTGTACAAATTTAAAAACCACTAACTTAAGAAAACTGATTTGGTCTTAATTGGAAAAAAAGAAACATACCAGTTAGGGGCCAGAAATAACTTTGAGGCTTTTTGTGATAAGAAGTCATATTATACCTCCAAAATAATATATAAAATGTAAATAACATACATATAACATATTTTCATGTATTTTTATTCAAAAGAAAAATATACTGTAAGGGTAAAAGAAATTGAAGTTAAAGTGTAAAAGTTAAAGGGTAAAAGACCAGGCATTGTAAAGTTTCTAAGCTGCAAGGCCTGAGTTAAAATGTAAAGGACCAGGCATTGTAAACCTGCTTCTAAACTGCAAAGCATGGGTTAAATTCCTGAGGCAGTTAAGACAATGCCCTACTGGCCATTTAGTTGATTTATAGCATTCAAGACCCTGTGCAGCTTGTCACGTAGGCATTCAAGGCCCAAACCAATCAGTTTGAATGTAACCCCCTCCTTAGGAATGACCTATCACTCCAGCCTGACCTGTTCCCGCCAATGAATGAACTAGTCATGTTTAGGAGTTGTTGTTTGACTTTCCCGCAGTGTATGATGATTTGTTAAAGGAGACTGTGATGTATGTAAAGTCCCGTCCTCCCCAAAAAAGTGTACTTAAGCATTGCACAACCCCTGCTCTGGGCTCTGGGCTGCTCTCATTTCTTGGGTGGGCACGGAGCCCTAGCATGCTAGATCAATAAATCCCCTTCTGCCAATTGCATGAGTGGTCACTTGGTGGTCTCTCCCTCCGATGCTTCACCGGACCCTTACAATACGTGGCATTTATAAAATAATAAGTTAATAAATGTAAATAACCTATAAACTAAAGAAGAAATCCTTTTAAAAGGAAATACTTAGAACTAAACAATGGTGAAAATAACTGTTTAGGGCTGGGGTTGTGGCTCAGTGGTAAAGTGCTTGCCTAGCATGTGTGAGACACTGGGTTCAATTCTCAGCACCACATATAAATAATAATTTTTTTTTAAAAAAGGGTCCATCAACAACTAAAAAAACATTTTAAAAAAATTAAAGGATGAAATTCCTTTAAAAAATAACTGTCTAGAAGTATAAGTAGTAGAGTGAAAAGAAAATTTATTTTATTGCATAAAAAGGCTAAAAATTAATGAGCTTAGTATCTATTTGAGGAATTAGAAAATAAACCGAATGAAATAAAGCAATTAGATAAAGGGAAATAAAAAATATCAGAGCAGAAAATAGGAAATGAAAGCAAAGATAAAATGGGATCAACAAAGCCAAAAGCTAATTCTTTTCAAAAACTGAGAAAATAGTTCTTTGGCAAAATTAACCAAAACTAAAATCAAAATGAACAATCATTGAAATAAAATGACATACTAAAAAACTGTAAAAATCCTCTAGCAAGATTAATTGAAAGAAAAAGAGAGAAGACTAAAAATGAACTATATTTGGACCTAAAACAGACATAAGACAATGTGAAGAATAAAAAAAGAATATTGTGAAATCTTCATAAGAAAGAACTTAAATGTGAATAATTTCCTAGAAAAATTAAACTCTCTAATACAAAAAGAAATAGAACTATACTTGAAAAATCCTATAATCACAAAAGTATTTAAAATTGGTAGTCAATTGAGTAGTTATAATTTTTATAATCAAAGAAGTCCAGTGGAGACAGGGATATAGTTCAGTTGGAAAAGTGCTTGCCTTGCATGCACAGACCCTGAGTTCAATCCTAGCACCAGAGAAGGGTGGTGGGGTAAGAAGAGACCCAGAAAGCTTTATAAGCATACTTTACCAGATAATTCCAATACTAAGTAAACATAGAAAAGAAAATATAATTATTTACACTCAATACTAAGACATGTATATCAACCTTGATATCAAAACAAGAAAAGCGAGTAAGGAGAAAGAAATGCATAGGTCAGTCTCACTCAGAAATACAGATGTAAAATTTCAAATTTCTAAAGAAAAATAAAAAATATGACCAATGAATACATTTTTAAAAATTAAAATGAACCAGGACCAGGTTATATTGATCCAAAGAAAAAAAATTTGGCTTCATCTTAGAAATAAATTAATATACAGGGCCAGGATTATGACTCAGTGGTAGAGTGCTTGCCTAGCACACGTGAGGAACTGGTTTCAATCCTGGCACCACATAAAAATAAACAAAATAAAGATATTGTGTCCATCTACAACTTAAAAAAAAGTTTTTAAATTAATATACAGGAATTCATCACATTAGCAGATTAAAGGGTAAAAGTCACACCATAATCTCAAAAAAACATAGAAACTGTTGATATAATTAAATAACCATTCATATAAAAAAAGTTTCAGCAACTAAGATTAAAAGAGAAAACTTAACCTGATAAAACAAAATCCATGAAAAATGAAATATCAAAAATATCTTTCTGAGATAAGAAAGAAGACAGTGGTACCCAATTTAACCATTTCTATTTAATATTGTACCAAGGTTGCTTTTCAGTGCAGTAAGGTAAGAAAAAAAGTATAGAATATATACTACACTGTATGTGTGTGTGTCCAGCAGAATATATATGTTATATATGATGTGGTGGGGTTGATAAAAACACACTAAAACATAATTAGAAGTGTTGTACAATATAAGGAAATTGTAAATAATGAGACAATAAGCTCTCTATGGATAATACAAAGAGAAAACTAACTTCCATAGGTACTGACGATCACTGGAGAATAGTTGGGACATTAAATTGCTGCCAGAATTTTATATCCAATTAAATCCATTTTCTAGAATGTATTCTCACTGGTATATTTATATTTATATATATGGGGGAATATATATATATAAATATACACCATATAGGGCTCACAGTATGGCCCTTGATTTGCATTAGCTAGTACTTCTAACTGGGAAATAATAATGACTACAGAGATTAACTATATCTGCCTCTATTCTCCAAGTCCAAAAAGAGCTGGGAAATTTTTATTCATCTTTTATTTTAAAAAACAACATAAAATAACAGTAAAAATTAAAGGACACTGGAACTTCAGTAACATACCTAAAACAATCTGTAGCAGTGGTAGAAGAGATTTCATTTAGCTGTTGATTGTTCTCTAGTCTCACAATGATAGAAGCTGCATATTTTTCAAAGGGACAGAGAAGCTGCTGGAGGTCTGAGCTCTCCTGGCAGCAATCCAATGCAAACTAAGGATCTGGAGGTCTTTGTCATCCCAGGATCTGAGTGTGACATATTTTTGAAGGATGTGTGATGTTCAATCGTAAGTGTGACAAAAACTGACAAGTAGGAAGCTTATGTACTCAGAGTCAAATGCTTGCATCCAAGTGATGTTTAATTTTGAAGATGTGATACTATCATTTGCTGAAAATATTGGTTCCCATGTTGAGCTTTCTAGGAATTATAGTGGGTTTGACTCATATAACTCTTCTCTTACACTTTCAAGAATTTCATGATGCCTTGTCACTACAGCTACCCACACCAGGCTTTCCAGGAACAAAGAGAGTTTCTTAATGCAATCTTCCTAAGTAGAACAAGTGTAGCAGGGTACATGACTTCTGACTGTTGGCATTTATATACTCTGGATTTCCCAGATAGGTGGATAATCAGACAGATTAAACCTGAAAACTCTGATGCCTGACACAGCAGTTATGGATCAGTTCTACATGAAAGATGGTGTTTTAGCAGAGGATGTCACTCAGGAGAGTATAATTAGTGGCATAATACCTGGTTTTTATGGTTTCGATATGATGTATTCCCCAAAAGCTCATATGTAAGACAATGCAAGAAAGTTTAGAGGTGAGATGACTGGGTTTTAAGAATCTTAATCTAATCAGTATATTAATCCCCTAATAGGGATTAACTGGGTGGTAACTATAGATAAATTGGGTATGGCTAGAGGAGGTGGATTACTAAGGATATGCCTTTGGGGTTTATATTTTGTGGTTGTAAAGGAGAGCTCTTTTTTCTGCTTCCTGGTGCAATGCCCTGAGCTGCTTTCCTGTGTCACATCCTTCTGCCCTGATGTTCTGCTCCACCTCTAGCCCAGAGCGATGGATTTTGCCCTCTACAGACTTAGACCTCTGAAACCAAGAGAGCCAAATAAACTTTTCCTCCTCTAAAATTGTTCTTGTCAGGTTTTTGGTCACAGCAGCAAGAAAGCTGACCAAAATACTGATTCTGTGATTAATGCTCATTGTGCAATCACTGATGGAATTCAGTGAATAGGATAAAATTGAATGGAACTTGACTACTGACTTCACTACAGAACCAGAATTTTTTTTTAGCTTTGAAACAAACTTAAGTCAGACATCCTATGATGACTTGATTAGGAAAGTCGTGGAAGTCTTCAAATAGGAAAATTTGTGAATACCATTTGTAATCAGAGTTCTAAATGTCACACAGTACTTTCTTCACTCCAAAAGACTAAAGGTTGAAGGACTGAAAACTGAAGAAACAACAACAGTGAAGTTGATTAGCAAAAAATGCAAAAAGAGAATAAACATAGGCAGTGGTAGCTGCTTTCTAGAGATTGATACCCTGGGGCTGTGATTTCCATAACCATCATGTTTTAGTTACACAAGCCCTAGATGGAATGATAGTGCAATCATTTTGAATTGTATGTATTATTATATCAAGGAGCTAGATATCTTGCATGAAAGCTTTCTCCTGTGTTTAAGTATTCTATGCCATTCTTGCTATGAAATTGAAACATTTGTAGAAAAAACCCTGCTATATGAAACTTTACAATGCTTGAGAAAACAATTCAGTTTGGTTTATACACAGTGTAGTATTTCTCCAGGTATCATCCAGAATTCCCCACAGGGCTTTCTTCCTTCATTAAATACTGGTTTCAGCATAACCATCTGGGACAGTAAATTGCTACCAGAATTTAATATCCAGTTAAATCCATTTTCTAGAATGTATTCTCACTGATGTTACTGAAATCAATTTCTTCTTCATATAGACACTTTTTGCAATAGCAACTGAAGTTTTTCTTCAAAGTGTAGCATCTTCTTTTAGAAAATTATTATAGTTATTCATTTTGTGTTACTATTTTAAAATTATTTATCCCCACATTTGAAGTTTTCTAATTGACTTCTTTTTCTCACCATGATGTCCCCTCATTTTATTTTACCCCTGAAATAAAGTAATACACTATTTTTAAAAATATATAAAATCTGGGAAAACAACTATTACTGTTTGCTGATATTATGACTGCTCATATTGAAAAAACTAACAGACTCAAAATATCAATAGTCTCTCAAATTAATAAGACTCTTGAAACTAATAAAGGAGTTTAATAAGGTTGCTAAATATGAAATCAAAATGCAGAATTAACCTCATTTTCATAATATAAGCAATAATCAATTAAAATTCAATTCTAAAAATCAACAGCATTTAAAATAGCAACCAATAACAAAGTCTCTACAAATAAATCTAACAAAATACGTATAGCCATTTCTAGGAAAAATTATAAAACTACATTGAAATTTTAGGATAGGGAGACAAAGTTGTAAAAATGTCAGAACTTTTCTTACTTATCTACATATACAAGGCAATTTCAACCACAATTCCTTCAAGGTTTCTTTATGAAACTTGACAATGTACGTCTCAAATATATATGAAATGTAAGAGTTAAATAAAGCCAAGACTTTTTAGAGAATACAGGGTGAGAGAACTTACTCTATTCAGATATCAAGACACATTATAAAGCTGTAAGATATCAGTACAGAAATTGTTTTAAAATTGAGTAATTGTGCCCAGAGCAGTGGCAAACATCTAATTCCAGTGGCCTAGGAGGCCAAAGCAGGAGGATCACAAGTTCAAAGCCAGCCCCAGCAACTTGGCAAGGCTCTGTCTCAAAATAAAGAAAATGGTTGGGGATGCAGCTCGGTGGTAAAGCACCCCTGGGTTAAATCTCCAGTACAAAAACCAAACAAATCAAAACAAAAACCTTTAAAGTATCCAAATACATTAAAGTCCTAAACATGAAAAATAAAACAGAAGAAAATATAAAACAATCACCTTAGGAAAGACAAGGATTTCTAAAACAAGACTTCAAAAACAATACAGGCGTTAAAGAGAAAAATTAATAGATATGACTATATTAAAATTAAAAAGGTGTCTTCAATAAAGAACTTCATTGACAAAGTTAATAGAGAAGTTACAGACTTAGAAAAATGTGTATAGCTTATAAGTGATTAATATTTAGAATAGATAAAGAATTGCTAATCAACAAATTAAAAACAGAAAATATATGAAAAAAATGGCCAGAATTGATATACAGAATAGTTGATATACTGAAGGGGAAACCTGAATGACTAAATACATGTAAAAAGAGATGCTGAACTTTATTTTACTTTCAGAAAAATACACAATGAAACAATACCACTTTAATCAAATTGTCAAAACTTATAAACTAAGTAACAGCAAATGCTGGCAGGATTATGTGTGACAAGTTTCATATGCTCAAGTTAAATTGGTGCAATCATTTTCAGAGTAACCTCTCTGTTGAGCCAAATATTGTAAGTCTACCATTTGGTCCCCATATAGAAGGACACTAAATAGATAAGGCCAATGTCTTGCACAATAGGAGGAAGCTAGATCTCTCAGCAGAATTGTTTGATTCAAAAATAAACTGGAATGTCACAAAACAGAGTGACACACAATCTCTCAGAACAATGACAACTGAGCTGTCCAGAGTCCTGATGGCCACATCTCCATCCCACCTCCACCCCAAATGATACTACTCAGCCCTCACTTTCTTTCAGATCTTCCCACCCATGTATTCAGACTACCTCTGTGCTTCACTGTCACCAGCCCAACAGTTGCTTGGATCCCTGCTGGCCAGATGAGTGGTACCAAAATTCATCTGCTTCATAGTTAAATGTGGATAAAAATAGCAATCACTAAACATTTGAAATCATATTATTTCAAAATGGTTTTTATTTTAGTGTGTTTAAAAGCTCAATGAAAAAAAGGAGAGACAGAATGAAGAATTAAAAGGTATACAATGATGATGAGAGCAAAAGAGAAAAAAACAAGAAAATTATATGGTTTTAGAATATGATTTCCATACAGGTAGGGATTTTTATCTGTTTTGTTCACAGCTAATTTCCTTTGTGCCATGATTAGGGGCTTGCTAAATATCTGATGAATGAATGAAAGAACAGGCATAGGCATACAAGAAATATATATTTTTAAAATATTTTTTTAGTTGTAGTTGGATACAATACCTTTATTTTATTTATTTATTTTTATGTGGTACTGAGGATTGAACCCAGCAGCTTGCTCGTGGTAGGCAAGCGCTCAACTGCTGAGCCACAACCCCAGTCCCAAGAAATATCTTTGATCCATTTTGTGGTCTTTCAGCCTACTAGGAATTAAACCCATTAAATTGTTTTGCAGCTCTGAATATAAGTATGTTGTCATCTATGTTATCTATGCTGAACTTTACTCATTTTTAGATGTGGAACTATAGTCTCAACTATTCAACTAAATACTCTTTTTCTTTCAGAGTTTTCAAATCTATTAATTCATCAGTTTGACTCTATATTTTATTTCATTATTCTTTGCATATTCCATTATTTTCCATCCTCAGATGTGAATCCCTTTCAGATAACCTATAAAGACCCTAATCTGAACTTGTCACTGCCTGAACTTGGGAACTATTCTAAAGTATAACTTATATAAAATACACTTCTAAATTTCATAAATTCTTAAATATTATTCTTGCTTACCTGAGAATATGGAACAAGTGTTTCAAACTGTTGATGAAGTTCCAGGAGCTGAATTAACTCTGCATTTTTTTTGGCCTTTTCTTTAATTAAACCAATATAATATTCAGGATTTTCTGCAAATGAATATGCAGCTTCTCTAGTATTGAATGTGTAATACTTCTCTTTATATTTCAAAATTCCAATTGTTGGATTTCCTAAAATTGAGGAAAAGAATTGAATTAGGTATGAAATATTAAATGATTCATATTGGCCATATACCTATAGAACCATTCTTAGTACATTCTATTTTAACATAGTTTTGTTAAAATGTTATAGTTCACAACTTTAAACTACATACTTCATTAAGCGATATTTTATGTGAAACTCATATTAAATTATTTTTTAGTTTTTATTTAAAGTATGGTTCTAACTTATTTTAGTTAGAAGTACTATCCACTATCTGGATGAAAGATATTTAGGAATCCCTTATAAAAAGCTAGTCCTTTAGCAGATTTTTCAAATCTATTTTAACTATTAAACTACAAAATGACAAAGACTATTTTTAAATAAATTCATGAGTCATTAAGTTTTGCTCTGTCAGTAGTTCTTTAGAAGATGATATATTTTTAGTAATTCTGTATGACTTTCTGTAATCTTTCAGTGGGGCATTGAATTATTCCCTTTCTATGGTATCATAGCATCTACTTTTTATAATACAGAAACTGAGTTCACAGGAGGCAATTAAAGGTATGTTTTTAAAATGACTGTGAAAACTACAAAAATGGGACATCTTTTGCAAAATACAAATTTGCATGCTGTGAAACAGACTCTATACAGAATATAGTATAATATCCACATAATTTGTAAAATTTATATAGAAAGCAGTAATACTGTCTTATTCATTTATTCTTTCATTTATTCAACAAATACTTATTGGCTCAGTTTTTGGCATTAAGTATATGGAAGAAAACAAAATCCCTGCTCTAAACAAATCAGAAATATATAATAGGCCAAAGAGTGATCAGCATTATGGTGGAGGGGGGCATTAAACACATAATAATAAAAGGAGATGAGATCGATATTTTAAACTGGGTAATTAGGGAACACTTGGTAAAGTGAAGGAGGAAGATGTACAGCTATGAGGGGATGGGGTGAGGAGATAAAGCTTTACAGGTCTTAGGGAATCCCAACTGAAAGGCTGTAAAGTGAAAGTGAACTTAGAATTTTCAAGAACAGTCTGGGTGTGGATCTCTAGTCCCAGCAACTCAGCTGACAGGAAGATTACTTAAGCCCACTAGTTTAAGATCAGCCTGAATGACATAGCAGGATCCTATTAAAAAAAGAAAGAAAGTTCAAGAACAGCAAGGAGTCCACTGCAGCTGTAGTAGTATGAATGAGGGACAGATAGGCAGTGAAGTCACCTAAAAAGGATCATAACTGGTAAGCCAGTGCCACTTTGGCATTCAAGCCATGTGGTCTGCACTCCCAAATGCAAGGAAGGAAGTCCTATCGAATGCCTTTGAGGTAATGCAGGTGGTTGCTGCCCCCAAAATAACATAGTAAATAGAAATAATTCAGTAAACAGAAATGAAGTAGTCAGGACCAGCTTATCCAGAGGGGTGTCTGAAATTCGCAGTCCTGCAAACCCTTATATTTTCCTATTTCTCCCTCTTTCTTAGAATCATAGTTGTTAGGAGCTGGATGAAACTCCCCAGACCTCCTGCTTGATACTTTCTGTTTTCCTAAGGGGAAACTGAGTTGACAGGAGGCATGAAATTTACTAAAGGTTACCTGTTTATAAATGGTACAAACTAGGACAAGAAACCTGAATCATCCTGAATCCTAGCTCAATAGCATTTCAACTGTATCATGCTACCTCTTCATTACCACCCACATCCATGTTTCTGTGTGTGCGTCTCTTATGACCCATTCTCTTCCTTCCAAAAGAAAGGAAGGAAGGGATAGAGCAACGGAGAGAGGTATGAATAGAAGAAGGAAGGAAAAGAAACCACCTGTATTCCACTGCTTTTTATTTCTGCATGGTTCTTGATTATTTTATCCCCAGTATCACTGATTGTCACAGGGTCTCAGAATACTATTATCTCATGTCCCCATGGTAAACCCTTTTCACTCCCACTATGAAAAAAAATGTCATAAAAAATGAGCCAACTTGTATGTCCTTTCTAGCATGTATGCACACAATTCCAATAATTCTTCATAACGAAAAGAGCAATACCCAATTATGAAACATAACAAATGTAGTATGGAAAAGAAATAGAGGATAAAAGGAAGAGGTTAACAGTGTAGATGAGTAACAATTCTGTCAAACTGTTTTCATTGTAGCCCTACCAGGCTTCTTATTGTCAATTTATACAGTATTTTTTGGATAATAATTTATTTCATCTCAATGTCTCTTTTACTCTTTATTTTGGAGAAGCTCTAATAATCTATATAATAGATTAGCCATTTCCTTAGTAGGATCTTAGAGGGAAATACTGATCTATGTTAATGAAATATAACTACAAAACGACAAAGACTATTTTTAAATAAATTCATGAGTCATTAAGTTTTGCTCTGTCAGTAATTCTTTGGAAGATGATATATTTTTAGTAATTCTGTATGACTTTTTGTAATCTTTCAGTGGGGCATTGAATTATTCCCTTTCTATGGTACCATAGCATCTACTTTTTATAATACAAGTTGAGCATTCCTAATCTGAAAATCTAAAATCTAAAATGCTCCAAAATCTGAAACTTTTGAATGCCAACATGATGTTACGAGTATAAAATTCCATACCTAACTTCATATGACAGGTCATAATTAAAACTCAGGCCCACTAAGATTATATTAGACTGTGTACATGATGTATAGGAAACACAAATGAATTCTGAATTTTGCTGGGTCTCATCCCCAAGATATCTCATTTTATATATATATATACACACAAATGTTCCAAAATCCAAGCATTTCAGGCAAGAAATACTCATTCTGTATACATATTCTATCACTTTCATTTAAAGTCTCTTGTTCATGTCAATGTACCAAATTATACTCTAAGCACCTCCAAGACAAAGATATTGTCTAGATCATTTTTGCAGCTCCTTTCCTAGAGTTCACCATCTGATTCCATCACATTTTAAAATATGAATATGTCAGTGACAATGTCAGGTGACTGGTTAAACTACTGAGGACACTAATCAAAATAGTTTATTCTGAAAGCTAGTCCACAAACTGGCCAGTACAATGAAGATGGGCTGGGAGAAGGGAGGCAAAAAAGTTTTCAAACAGAGAAAAAAATTGGGGAAGAGGAAAACAATATTATTTCCAATAATATACCTGGAAGGAGAAGACCATCTGTTGTAGCAAATGTGTAACCACAAAATCCCCGATACTGAATTAATAACTTTTCAAAATTTGCTGTTGTTTCTGGGAAAAGCCATTCCAGTTTTTTGAAGTCTGTCAAACGTACTCTATCTTCTAAAATGAAAAATGAATACAGGAAAAGTTTTCATCCAGTGAGAAGACTAACATTTCCAAATAAATCATTATTAACTCATTTTAAACATTAATTTATTGTTCTTTTCCTGACAAAAACTTGATACTCACAAAGTCAATGCATCTCTTGAAGGGCCTAAGCTCAATTAACTTTAAAGGACTAAAATTTATCGATTTATAAATTCTCAACATGAATCTAAAGTAGATATAGAGCAAATAATGTTTTAAAAAATAAAACTTTATTTACAACAAATACAGTAAGGATTAATATCTTTTTCTACTCCATATCAATAACAAAACCACTAATTCTGTGATAGAAACACATTCACACAGAAAATCATTGTTAACCAAAACATGAAGAATAATTACATAAGAAGTGGTTATTGCCAGCTAGTAAGCTATCCAGTTGACATATTCTGTTTGCCACACTGAGCATTAGTATTTTATAATTAAGAAAGATGTCTAATGCTTTATCAGAAAGATGTAACATGAAAAATTTAAAACAAAAGAGTGACTTCATTATAGAGATAATTTTAGAAAAAAAAATAATGGTTTCCATTACCCATATGTTCTTTTATTCTACACACATCTGTTTTCACTGTCACATCATCAAGAAGACCTTGCATTATTCTGTCAGGAAAAAGAAGTTCATGAGCACCCAGAAATGGCTCCAGGTGACTGGTTAAACTACTGAGGACGCTAATCAAAACAGTTTCATCCTGAAAGCTAGTCCACAGACTGGCCAGTGAAATGAAGATGGGCTAGAAGAAGAAGAAAAAAAGTTCAAAATAGAACTATATGATAAAATTATAAAGCATTGTACTCTTAAAAATAAATACAATGTTATTTGTAAAGAAATTAATTCTTCCTTAAGTCAACCAAAAATCTCAGGGAACTAGACAATAGACTAGAAAGAACCTGACTTACAAATAATGAGAAAATAAATTAATTTTATTTCAAAGCATTTTATTTTGGTATGATGGTTATAAAGTTAATTTAGTCAAAAAGAGTCACATATTTGATGACCTAAGAAAGTTTTATGAATATTTCATCTAAAAAGGTCAGGGGAAAAATAAATACACTTTTTTTTAAAAAAGTTAAATATGACTCATTATGGTTGATTTATCTGGCCTAATCATAATTCAAAAGAATCTGGAAAGTATAGAGAGATATCTTAGGACACGTTTGTGAGCTACAAATTAAAGATTTTGATCAGTAAACTAAAATGTCTTTTATTTAAAGTAAAGATTACTGATTTACAGAACAAATGAAAAATCAATCAGGCCCTGCATATAAGCTGAACAACTTAGCCTTTTGTTTCTCTGTTTTTAAAACCAAACATTGAAAAGGATTGCAGAAGGTAGAAGAGTCTCAAATGGTCTATATAATATACATGAACCTTTTTTTACCTGCTTGTTCAGATGAGGGCTGTTGAGTTCATTCAAAAAATAGTGCAGAGAATCAGAAAGTCAATAGTAACAGCATGCATGGTAAACAAAGAGATTATTATCTGTCTCTTTAGAAAGGTCACAAGTTACATCATCTCTGTGCTAGAGGCAACTTCTGACCTGCTACTATGAATAGATTTCCAACACAGTACTACAGATTATTTCTGTTATCATAGTCAATACTAATATTATCGCACTGTAGATCTGAATTTCCTTTAGCAGCAATTGCTCATGGAGAATGCTCTCATCCAATATACTTCAGATACTACTATAAAATAACCATAAGGAACAGGATCAACTTATATAAAACTGTTATGTTAAATAACTGAATATAATTATAAGGATTTCTGATCCAATTTTATAGTACTCAAGAAATTTACCCTTAATACGGTCAAAGTTGATAACAAGTACTTACAAAGACTTGTGATGTTGGGATAGCTGTTCTTGATTTTACAGTGGATTTTAAAAGTTCCAATTGGGCTCCTAACTGTTTTATCATAATTTCCACTTCTTGGGCACAAGTAATTATATCTGACTATGAAGACAACATAATTTACATTAATATTTTTATAATTTCACTAAAAAAATCACATGTTTTAACCCCACCTGTTCCCCACGTCCTCTGAGGGTAAGCTCAGTGACAGGGGCTCTATTCTCTTTGGTAATCCTCAACAACTAGAATAGCACTGGCATATGGATGATGCCCCAGAAATATTTGTGGGATTGGTGAGTTTTTTGACATACTATGAATATAACTTTTCTTAAATGTACACAGGTATACTAAAATATTAAATCTAATTCTTGAGAAGTGGATCCCCAGGAATCTTCTTTATATAGTTATATGGCTATTATTTTCCCATTACCCAGTGATAACATTACTGAAGTATTTCTCTGAAAACTATTTTGATATCAAGAACTAATAAATTACAGAAATTCTTAAACGTCACAGCATTAAAGAAAAACAATATTTTTATAGAAATTGAGGGTCTGAAAATAAGTTGCTAAATTTGAAATAACTATAAAACACTTGTTTTATTTGCAAGCACCATATAAAATATATATAAATACCAAGAAGAGGTAGATATGAATAAGGAAAAACAAAGAATAGAAAGGTAAGTAAGGCTGGGCACAGTGGGGCACAAAGAATAGAAAGGTAAGTAAGGCTGGGCACAGCGTGGGTGTCTGAGACAGGAGGATCCTGAGTTCAGAACCAGCCTTAGCAACTTAACAAGACCCTAAGCAACTTGGCAAGACCCTGTGTCTAAATAAAATACAATAAAAAGGCTGGGGATGTAACTCAGTGGTTAAGCAGCCCTGGTTCAATTCCCAGTACCCAAAAACCAAAAACAAAAATGGAAAAAAAAAAGGTAAGTAAATTTCTGAAGTATATATAACTAATAAGGGGTAGAATTACATTTCTACTCTAAACCATCTGAGAGCCCAGCTTTTATCCATTATACTGCATTGCCTAAGATGCGACCAGAAATAGCAATGGTATGGGTTTATCAGTACAGTATAAAATAATGGCACTTATTTAAAAGAAAAAAGTATATTGAATCCTTGGACATCTGTAGTTTAAATTCTACACAGATAATTTTAAATTACAAAAATGAAATATCAAATATTATTATCAAATATTATTAGTGTTCTTAAATAGAACATGCATCTTGCTTTAATTTTACCCACACTGCTATTTAAGCATTCTCTGGGTTCAGTCTCCCATATAACATTTTCTATCATATCTAACAAGTCTCTTATCTGCCCCAGAGTTTTTTCCCACCTTGCTTGTTATTGTTGTTTTTGGAATCAAATGTAAAAATGCAATCTTTAAAGGCTTTTTAGATTTGTGCAACAAGCCAACAACACACATATGCAGAAATAAATCTGCATATGTTCTCCAAAGTAAAAGTTGCATCTGACACATAACACTTATAAAACCTACAATGAAAGATGCTCTAGATTCCCTATACTCAAGCTATGTTTTCAGGGTCTATTCACAGAGTAGGCAGGCACAAATAACTTTTTGATTTTTTTTTCCAGTAATGGCCTAGAATAATCACTCTATTTATATTTTACCAAAAAGAACTTATTTACAAAAGTAGAGTTTTAGTTGTAATGTTAGTCCTCTAGGGATACTATTGCCTAAGTTTTTTGCTTTTGTTTGTTTGTTTGTTCATTTTTGTTATAACACACTCAAATGTTTAAGGAAAGCATATGATCCCACCACCATATTTCTGTATCTCCTCTCTTCCTTCTTCTTCTTTTTTTTTTTTTTTGATTGTAAGTCCTCATACTTTCTTCCATGGGCAATTTTCCTACAAGTCTCATCAAACTCATAAAAGACAGTAAAATGATGGTTTCCAGTGGACAGAGAGAAGGGGACATATGGAGTCAATAATCAACAGGTATGAAGTTTCAGTTCTGCAAGATGAATAAACTTTAGGGATCTGCTTCCACCATAGTGCCTATAGTTAGTAATATTGTTCTGAACTCTTAAAATGTGTTAACAGCATAAATCTCATGTTAAATGTACAATAAAATAAATTAATCACACATTCCATCTGATTTTTTTACTTACATTATTGGAAAAAAATCAAGATGCTGGGTGTTGCCTAATCCCTGCATGTACTTTGCATGCAAGGCAAACACTACCAACTGAACTATATCCCCAGCCCTTCTACAAAAATCTTGACTTGCAGGTTTTCAGAAATGTTCTATCAGACATAATTTTTCCTTGCATAATAACAATAAGCAGCTTTCTTTCTTTGGTAACTGCCTTGCACTTAAAAACCCCACAGAATATGGAATTCTGTTCTCTCAGCTAAGACAGTCAGCAAGACTGTGATTGCTGCCCACCATGCCACCACCCGCCTTTTCTTTTCCAGAATACATGAATTTGTTCACTGCAACAGATAAAAAACTAATCAGAACAAAATAAAATAACTCACTACCCAAGTTACAATTGGATTTTTTTAAATGTTTATGTAAACTGAATGCAGCTTTGGCAAGAAATAATTTTTTAAAATCAAAATCAATACTTGAAAAAATTTTACTAATATCCTTTTAGATACTGTGACTTTTGAAAAAGGATATTTATAGGTTTCAAGACATGAAAAAATTTCAGCTAAATACAAAATGGCATATTTTGTAGCCTAGAGATAATGCTGATTAAACCAATATTCATTCTATATTAACTAAAACTAAGAAAGATTGATGGGGAAGGACTGATAGTTCAAAAACAAAACAATAGACATTTTGAGCACCAAAGGGTCAGAAAGTTTAAGAAAATTTGTCCTAACCCTAACTTAAAGTAGTACTAAATAGCCATGAAGAGTGCTAAAATAAGAAAACTAAACCTTCTCAATAACATGAACAGCAAGAAGCTTGGAAATGAGATAGTGTCTGGAAAAAATAATATCTCCTCAGCTTGTTCCCCCACCAAAATGGAATCAGAGCTCTTCTGCTAGGGCCCCAACAGTGATGATGATGGTAATCATCATCATCATCATAAATGTATGGAATTATTACTATGTAAATACACTGTCCTACATTATTTACATAGTGGAGAATATTCTACAGATATGCAAACCAAGACACTGGGAAGTTAAGCAACTTCTTCAGGACACAGATCTAGCAAGTAGCACGTCAGGACTGGAGCCCATGCAATCTGCTTGCAGAGCCCACACTTGTCATTGTACGCTCCATTCACTGTCCCTCTAAGCTGCAAGAGGTGGAACTCCAGTGAGAATTTAAGACCAAGTTAATAGGTTGAACATAATTCCTGATCAAAACACTCCACAATGAACAAGATTCTCTGAAACATCTTCACAATATTTATTCCCAAGGATCTCCCCTCCAAATATAGACAATAAAAGTGAATGTGAGTTTTGACTCCTATGAACCTACATTTCACTTCAAGACAAATTGATTTAAAAACCCTGTTGGTATCTGACTAGTTACATAAGGCTGAAATCAATGTTAAGGGAATATCTGTGCATCAGGATGATTTGATTTTTTTAATCTTTATTTTATTTATTTATTTATTTATGTGGTGCTAAGGCTCGAACCCAGCACCTCACACGTTAGTCAAGAGCTCTATCACTGAGCCACAACCCCAGCCCCAGAATGATTTGATTTTGAATAACTGATTTACAGTCCTTCTTTCCAAAGGCAATTAATAGGTAGGCCAGTTGTGAGGACCCCTAGTTTCTTGCAATGAAGTCTTGTCATCAGGATGCTTCTCTCTTTGTACTGTATAGCTAGGTAATCAGAGATGACAGACCAAGTACATCCAAAAGTGTACTAAGCCATTAAGAATCAAGTTAGGAAGAGGGGGCCAAAACACATACTATTCTATCCCTCAAGAAATTAGTATTCACTCATATGAAAGACAGTTCCATTAACCCTGAGTCTCAGAGTTATTAGAAAGAATCAGAACAAAACTTTTTAAAATAGCTTTTAAAATGGAAAAAAATTAGAGTCCTCTCTGAGAGGATCCATTCTATCCCTTGAGAGTATTCCCTTTTTCTATCTCTTCTAATAAACTTTGCTATTCTTTTACTTAAAAAAAAATTCTACCAGTTTTTATAAGAACAGCAAATTATTAAACAAAAATTGAGTGTCAACTATCTGCCAAACAATGTTAGACACTTCTTCTGAATAAAACAACATGGTATTTCTCTCCTACACATACATATATTATTGCTTAAACATACCATGTTAACAATCATACTATCAAGTACCAAAGAGAATCAACAACTATAAAAATCAAAATCCAACTTTCCCATTTCTATTTTAATTCCTGGATCTACCTATGCAATATAAACTGAGAAGCAACTGAGTTTGCTTCCTTTCATTAGTGACTTGGTCCTAAAGAGGTTATGTATGAAGACCAGAACTTGTGAGATTAACTCACCAAAATGATCTGAAGGAAGATCTCATATTGTCGTACATTATACAATGCCTCCTTTAACATATATGGCTCGAGTTCTTTACTCATGAGTGGGTTCTTTGTTACCTTCTCAAGGATGGCTGTGTAGCGATATACCTGGTCCTGGGCAATCTGAAGTTGGGAATCAATATGCTGAGTGGTGGCTGGGATTGCTTCATGTAGAATAGCTGGCACTGTTTGTAAGTATATAAAAGACAGGTATGAGGGTGGTTAAGAAGAACAAGAGAGAGCCAGGCATGGTGGCTCAGCCTGTAATCCCAGGAGTTAGGGAGCCTGAGGCAAGAGGATTTCAAATTCAAGGCCAAACTCAGCAATTTAGTGAGGCCCTCAGCAACTTAGTAAGACCTATCTCACATTAAAATTAAAAGAGTTTAGGGATTAACTCAGTGGTAAAGTGTTTCTGGGTTCAATCCCCAGTAAAAATAATAATAGTTAAGAAAAAAAAAGGCCCAGAAAGTAGTCATATTTTAAGCACTGAGTGGAGTTAGTTTTTAACAACAGTAAGCCATGTGCTTCATGGGTCCCACAGCATGAAGAATACAAAAAGAACCTATCCAAACAAAATATATTATCAGAGTGATAACCAAAAGTCACAGCAGATCAGCTTTTGCCACTAAAAATAGAGTTTAAAGAAAGGTAGGCTTCAACAGTATGTGTTGTTGACCATGTGGTACCTAGAAAAGCCACTGTCTGATCAATCCTTCTATATACTTTCTTTTCTATTTGTAAAAACAAATTTCAAAAGCATTTTTTGTAAGAAACTCATTTGGATGCTGAAAAGAAACAGAATAGTCTATCAAGGGAGGAAAGTTTATAAAGAATGGAAATTGAACTTTTTAACACAGCTTAAAAATAAAATTTTTAAAATGGAAAAACTTAGAGAATGTGGCTCAGAGGTACAACACTTGCCTAGTATGCACAAGACCTTTGGTTCAATCCCCAAATTCAAATCCTCGGCAAATAAATAAATAAATAATACTCTGCTGCTAGTACTGATATCTAGTGACCAGTGGTCTGGTAAAAGACACCAACACCTTATCACCTGCAGGAATACCAAATTCATAAGAAATCACTCTACTGGTAGGTCCTTAATTAACTATTTCAAAAGCACATTCAAATTTATAAAGAATTCTTTTTGTAATAACAATACAGTAGATGCTCCTCAATTTAAAGATTTGCCTAAATATCTCTTTTTGGACCTTCTCATTCCATTAACAGCACCAACAACTGTTTTCTTTCCAGAATGATGTTTGGTTTTACATCACTGAGTTTTACTTTCTTTGGTTGATTTGGAGTAAACACAAATCTCCACTGAATTGGAGAGGCTAGCCTTTGGGCAGGAACCACATTCCTTTACTGATTCACTTTCCCACACTAACTTCATGGTACATAAAATTCAAAGTCTTGCCTCAGCAAAAGTAAAAAAAACAGTTACTAAGGAACTGTCAAAACTACAAATCTTAAATCTCAGCATGCCAGTCATGTATTGTGTATTATATTCCTCACTGTGCAGGCTGAATTTTAAACATCCATAACCCCTAGAATTAACCTAATGATACACTTACAATCATCAATGCCTTCTCCTCCTTTTCCACAGTCTCTGTTAAATAAGCGAATTCCAGAAACAATCATAGTGAGTTCTTTCAGCTGGCGTTCTTTGTCCTTTTTAGTAAGAGTCAGAAATGTCCCCAGTTCAGAATGAGGAAAAACACTCTGTAGTGCAGCTAAAATAAACCACAGAATATGAAAACAAAATGATAGAATAAAGATATCAGAACTTAGATTATAAATTTCTTTCCTTCAGCAGAAAGTTAAGAGACTTGGCTTTGTACTGTTCCCTATACAATGCTTCACATTTCTGATAACTGACTACAGAATGCATGGCAAAATTTATCATACATCAGAGCTGGACTACTAAAACTAATGCTATTGTCTCATATCCATTTTTAATAAGTAAGCATCCAAATTACTGCTAGAATTTCTTGGCACTAGGTCTTAAAACAAACTTTCTAAATAGGGCTTGGAGTAGAAAAATCTATGCTGTTAGATAATTATGGAGGAAAGCCATAGGAGGTCTAGACATCTTGCCTATTCCTCATTTTTAAGTATAAAAGGGGACAATAGGCTCATGATATGTACAGCCCTAAGAAAATGAACAGTACTTCCCTTCAGGTGCCACGTTGTATAAAAAGAGTCTGGGTAAGTTTTAACTTCTTATTTGTCTTTATTTTTTTTCCAGATAAAAAGGGAACTTCAATCTTTTAACACTTAAACACATTTTATAAAATATAATGATCATATATGCTCACGTATACAATGGAAATCATTTATATTTTTTACCTGTTGCCTCTCTGACAATCTTGATGTCTGTAGGGGATCCAAGCCCAGAGCGTAGCAACACATAGCTGACAATCTTCCTATAAAGGCTTTCCAATTCTTCTCTAGCACATGCTCTATTATCTGTAATTTCTCTGCTAACAGAGCCTAATCTAGACTCCAGGACCCGGTGATGTTCTTCAAGAAATTCCTCTAAAATTGGCAAATGATAACATTGCATACATTTGATATTTAGGATTCTCATTTGAGGATGAGAGAAAAACTGCTTAAGTATGGCAACTGTACTGTATAAAAATAAATACTTTCTTAAGATGTAAAAATGAAATTAAAAACAGTGAATAAGTAACCTCAAGACAAAAATCCAGTGGGAAACGTGCATACAGTGATTTAAATAGAGTACTTTATCAAAAGGGCTGGGGTTGTAGCTCAGTGGTAGAGTGCTCGTCTGGCATGTGTGAGGCAATGGGTTTGATCCACATAAAAATGAACAAATAAAATAAAGGTATTGTGTCCATCTCCAACTAAAAAATTATTTTAAAAAGCCACAAGACCCAAAATAAATAATCAAAACAGTGAACATCAGAGAAGACTAAAGTCTCTCAATTAAGCAGAAAGTAGACACTTTCTTTAATACAAGTGTGAGTATATATATAAAATACTATATGTAAACATTATAAATATATATGTACTGTACATTTATACCATATGTAAACATATGTAGTATGCTACATGTAAGTATATGTAGTACAGTCATATATGGGGTGTATATATTCCTTTTCTATTATGTGTATTTCTATTTTAGTTCCAGATAAATTTTTCTCTGAATAATATTACTGATAATATGATATTACATCAAAAACTGTGTCTCTCCTCTTTCTTCCTTTGCTGTGCTAAGGTAAAAGCATAATTGTGGCAAAAGACCATCTTTACCAGCAATATAATTCTTGCCACTGACTCAATAAGACATCCTGTATTACTATTACAAGGGCAATGATTCACATTTCAATCATGCACACTTCATACCAAATCTTACCACAAAAGAAACTGAAAGCTTTTTTTTGCAAATAAAAAATACATATATTAAATTTCCTCAATTCCATGACTATTTTATTGCTTTAAATCTCATTATTATTTTTAAATTGTTTTTGTATGTGTAGATGACAGAATGCCTTTATTTATATTTACATGGTGCTAAAGATCAAACCCATTACCTCAGACCTGCTAGGCAAGCGCGCTGCCACTAAGCTACAGCCCCAGCCCAAAATTCATTATTATTAAGCAAAAAAAGCAAGATATATAATTAGTTATATAGGATAACTAAAGCACTAATGCCTAGAGACAAAAAAAGATAATCACCAAATAGTTAATAATAAATTCATTACAGCAGCAACAAAAAACAGAGAAATTTATTTTCCTTTTTCTCATTCCCAACTTGTCTTTGATGCATGCACTTTCATTTATATTATGATAAAATTCTGAATTTAAATTTCCCACAATTTCTTTCATTTTCAGGTAGTTACATAATTTAGGAATTATGAGATGATAAACTAGGAATAAAAAAATATACAAATTTTAAAAACTTAACTTCAATGAGTTGGATGTTTTCACTTCTAATTATAATGTATCAGTGCTATGAAGGTTAAAAATCAATAGACTGAGAAATAATGTTTAGGAGCATAAAAATTTAAATTGACTTTTAACACTTACAAAAGCCACTGATATTTTTTTTCATTTAGCATGTTCATCATTATTATCCTTCAAAGATTATAGCTTGTATACAAAAGTCCTTAGTTTTGAAGGCTTTGTCCCTAGACCATGGTATTATTGGAAGGTGGTACAACCTTTAAAAGGATTAGTGAAAGGTCTTTGGGCTCAAAGAAAGCATGCCCTGGAGGGCACTGTGGGACCCCACTCTTTTCCACTCTTTCACTGGCCGACCAGTGAGGTGAATGGTTTTGTTCTAGAGTCACATGTTCCCACCATGATAGGCCACCAAAGGCCTAAAGAAACTGGATCAACCAATCATAGACTGAAACTTTAAATTTGTGAGTCAAAGGAAATATTTTCTTTGTATAAGTTATCTCAGATAATTTTTATAGTGACAGAAAACTTCTTAATACATCAAAGTTGGAAAACATTTCAAAAGACTGACAAGGAAAATAATTTCATGAACAATTAAATTTATTGTCAACCAAATGAAACTTTCTCACCTGAAATACAACATAACTTTTAAAAGCATTGAAGTAGGTAGATAATGTTACCTCGACTTGTGTAATTCATATCAAAGTAGACTTGCATCTTAATGGTGTCTAAAGATGGATTTTTATTATCCAGTAGTCGAGCCACACAAAGCTAGAAAATAATAGCAATGTTTCTATTACATTTTCTAAAACACTAAAGTATCTTCTAAGATAGCTCCAAAATTAAAGGGAAAAGTCAAAGCAGTGTTTCCTGATATTTATCTACCAAGAGCTCCTTTTATTATTTTTTCTCCTTGAGGATTTCAGGCTCTATATTTTATCCAACTAGCAACAATGTATGGCTGGGAATATAGCTCAGTTGGTAGTGTGTATTATGTGATAAGTTATTTCCCTTGAGTTAACTTAAATCACCTCAGGTGGCTAATAGTCTAGTTGAAGGCAAGAAGCTTGACTTTGGTGGTTAGCCCAAGCAGTTAAAACATGGATAAATGGTCCATGAAGCTTATACTCCAGTCTAGAACTCTCCTGGAGTTCCTCATTACTATTTATTTTATTAATATTCCTTTGGCAATGCTGGAGGTCACATGCATTTTACTAAAAAGAAAAAACTATTGCAACTACCTTCTTCTCTTCACCCAATTTTAATGGCTCTACTTTCCTGTTTCAAAATTTTTTCTTCTGATTTGTGTTCTCCCATCCATGATCCCAAATAGATGGCTCATTCCCCCTTCTGTCGCACTTCTTTAGACTGGATGATCAAATTAAATTTTCTTTCCTTCTCTCCACTACTAACCTCCCTCCCCCACTCTCTTCCCTTCTCACCTCTTAGGAGCAGGGAGAATGCAAGACTGAGGATCTGATACTGTCTTTATGGAAACCTGTGCACCTGGATTCCTCCAAGAAAGAGAAGTAGTGTTCTAAAATTAGACTTTATTTTAAAAAAATTAGCTCATCCATGTGACTTTGGGAAAAAGGGAAACAATTTCCATCATTTGAATTTTTTATTTTTGTTCTAATTAGTTATATATGACAATAGAATGCATTTTGACACATCACACATAAATATATAACTTTTCATTCTTCTGGTTGTACATGATGTAGAGTTACACAGGTCATGTAATTATATATGCACATAGGGTAATAATGTCCAATTCATTCTACTATCATTCCTACCTCCATACCCCCCCCCCTTCCTTCATTTCCCTCTGTCTAATCCAAAGTACCTCTATTCTTCCTGAGCCACCCCACACACACACACACACACATACTTATTGTGAATTAGCATCTGCGTATCAGAGAAAACATTTGGCCTTTCTTTGGGATTGGCTTATTTCACTTAGCATGATAGCCTCCAGTTCCATCCATTTACTGGCTAATGCCATAATTCCATTCTTCTTTAAGATTGAGTAGTATTCTATTATGTATATATACCACATTTTCTTTATCCATTCATCTGTTGCCCTTCAACAGATGAATGGAACTAGCACCTAGGCTGATTCTAGTTAAGCTATTGTGGATTGAGCTACTATAAACATTGATATGGCTGTGTCACTACAGTACACTGATTTTAAGTCCTTTGAGTATAAACCGAGGAGTGGGATAACTGGTCAAATGGTGGTTCCACTCCAAGTTTTCTGAGGAATCTCCATATTGCTTTCCACAGTGGTTGCAACAATTTGCAATTTTACCAGCAATGTATGAATGTATCTTTTACCCCACATCCTCACCAACATTTATTGTTGCCTGTATTCTTGATGATTGCCATTCTGACTGAAATGAGATGGAATCTCAGTGTAATTTTGATTTGTATTTCTCTAATTGATAGAGATGTTGAACATTTTTTCATATATTTGTTGATCAATTGTATTTCTTCTTCTATGAAGTGTCTGTTCAGTTCCTTAGCCCATTTATTGATTGGGTTATTTGTTTTTTGGGGTGTTAAGTTTTTTGAGTTCTTTATATATCCTGGGAGATTAATACTCTATCTGAGGTGCAGGTGGAAAAGATTTTCTCCCATTCTGTAGGCTCTCTCTTCATGTTCTTGAATGTTTCCTTTGCTGTAAAGAAGCTTTTTAGTTTGATTCCATCACATTCATTGATTCCTTTTTTCTAATTTGTTCTAATTAGTTATACATGACAGTAGAACGCACCTCAACACATTATACACAAATGGAGTATAACTTCCCCTTCTTCTGGTTGTATATGATGTAGAATCACATGGGCCGTGTAGTCATATATGCACATAGGGTAATAATGTCTGATTCATTTTACTGTGCTTCCTACCCCCATACCAATTCACACCAATTCCTATCTTTACCTCCCTTCACTCCCCTCTGCCTGATCCAAAGTAATTCTATTGTTCAGTAACTCTCCTCACCCCCTTATTGTGAATTAGCATCTGCATATCACAGAAAACATTGGGCTTTTAGTTTGAGGGAACTGCCTTATTTTGCTTAGCATGATAGTCTCCAGTTCCATCCATTCACTGACAAATGCCATGATTTCATTCTTTAAGGTTGAGTTATATTCCATTGTATATATACCACATATTCTTTATCCATTCATCTGGTGAAGAACACCTAGGTTGGTATTTTTTTTTAATGTTATGGTATTTATTCTTTATTTTTATTTTTATGTGGTGTTGAGGATGGAACCCAGTGCCTCACACATGTGAGGCAAGCACTCTACCGCTGAGCCACGGCCCCAGCCCGGGTTGATCCATTTATTGATTCTTGATTTTACTTCCTGCACTTTAGTAGTCTTGTTAAGGAAGCCAGTTCCTAAGTGACATGGTGGCGGTTTGGGCCTACTTTTTCTATTACGTGCAGAGTCTCTGTACTACTGCCTAAGTCCTTGATAATAGACAGGGTTTAATTGCATTTTGCTACATATTAATTTCCAGTTTCATCATTTGAATTTTGATATTCATTGAGTTTTTATGTACCTGACATTAAAGGTACATTGAGCTCAATTCATTCCAACTTAGTTGAGTTGGGGAAAGGAAAAACAATTCTTCTTGAGCCATAAAAAGAAGAAAAACTTATTTTCTGCTCTTTCTTAATTCTCCTCAATGTCTTCCCAATAAAATTTCTGACAAACCATTACAGCCATTTCCCCTATTGCCAAGAACAAGCTTTATATCACATTTTAAATCAGCTGAGAAAAGAGCCAGCTCTAGGTAGTTTCGTGAAATCATGGAATCTCTCCTACATAATCATCCTGACAAAATATTCCCCAGCTCCAGGCTTACAAACGTATTCCTGACCCCTACAGTTTCTGCAGATAGACCTGTCCTCCACTAAGTGAACTGCCAGTTGAAATAAAAAATGGGGATGGTGACATTTTCCCCTGCCATTTTCTTTTCTTTTGTTTTTTATTTTTTGTACTTGTAGCAACTGTTCACTTTTTTCTTTTTTTAATTAATTTTTTTTTATTTATATGTGACAGTGGAATGCATTACAATTCTTATTACACATATAGAGTTCAATGTTTCATATCTCTGGTTGTATATAAAGTGTATTCACACCAATTCCTGTCTTCATACACGTACTTTCAATAATAATGTCCATCACATTCCACTATCATTTCTAACCCCATGCCCCCTCCCTTCCCCTCCAACCCCTCTGCCCTATCTAGAGTTCATCTATTCCTCCCATGCTCCCTCTCCCTACCCCACTATGAATCACACTCCTTGTATCAGAGGAGGCATTTGGTTTTTTGGGATTGGCTAACTTCACTTAGCATTATCTTCTCTAACTCCATCCGTTTACCTGCAAATGCCATGATTTTATTCTCTTTTATTATTGAGTAATATTCCATTGCCACATTTTTTTAATCCATTCATCTATTGAAGGGCATCTAGGTTGGTTCCACAGTTCAGCTATTGTGAATTGTGCTGCTATAAACATTGATGTGTCTATGTCCCTGTAATATGCTGTTTTTAAGTCCTTTGGGTATAGACAGGTATCTGGGTCAAATAGCGGTTCCATTCCCAGTTTTCCAAGGAATTGCCATACTGCTTTCCATATTGGCTCCACCAATTTGCAGTCCTACCAGCAATGTATGAGATAATTGTATTTGTGTAGATTTGTCTCTGTGCCCTCTATTCTGTATCTTTGGGTCTACCATTCTATTTTGGTGTCAACACCATGCTGTTTTTATTACTACTGTTCTATAGTATAGTGTAAGTTCTGGTTTAGTGATGCCTCCTGCTTCACTCTTCCTGCTAAGGATTGTTTTAGCTATTCTGGGTCTCTTCTTTTTCCAGATGAATTTCTTGACTGCTTTTTCTATTTCTATGAGGAATATCATTGGGATTTGGATTGCAATTGCATTAAATCTGTATAGTGCTTTTGGTAGTATGATCATTTTGATAATATTAATTCTGCCTATCCAAGAGAAAGGTAGATCTTTTCATCCTCTAAGGTCTTCTTTGATTTCTTTCTTTAGGGTTCTATAATTGTCATTATATAGATCTTTCACCTCTTTCATTAAGTGGTTTCCCAAGTATTTAAAAAGCATTTGACAAAATGCAGCACCCCTTCATGTTCAAAACACTAGAAAAATTAGGGATATCAGCAACATATCTCAACATCAAAAAGGCTATCTATGCCAAACCCCAGGTCAACATCATTCTAATGGAGAAAAATTGAAGACATTCCCTCTAAAAACTGGAACAAGACAGGAATGCCCTCTTTCTTTCTTTCTTTCTTTCTTTTCTGCTTTAGTATATTGAACATCTTTCTAAAATAAACTATGAGAAAACCATTCTAATTCAATGGAAGAGATGCTGAAGGATTCAAGATTAACATCCATTATTAGCAATGTAAAACGGAGGGAAAGATCCGTGAATTGTGCTCCTAGAATTCTGCCCCCATGGGAGACAGAAGGGTCAAACCGAAAGCCATCAATGGGAAAGATGAAGAAAGATGGGCTCTCAGAGCAGGGGTTTCTGGCTAGAAGCTGTTCCTTGCTCACTGGGTCAATTTTTTCACCCAGCCCCCTCAGGCTGATTCTCTAGGCTAAGATGGTTGAGATGGTGTTTGCTGTAGAAAGTGGCGGGCTGAACCCAGGGATAGTGCTGAAAAGCTTCCCGAGTCACGCTTGGCTCAGGCTTCTCCAGGGAAGATGGACAGAGGGAAGGAAGGTGCTGGCACCAAGCGAGGGCTTGGCACAGGAGGAATGCCCTCTTTTACCACTTCTATTTAACATAGTTCTTGAAACACTGGCCAGAGAAATTAGATAGACAAAAGAAATTAAAGGGATACACATAGGAAAAGAAGAACTCTGGGGCTGGGAATGTGGCTCAAGCGGTAGCGCGCTCGCCTGGCATGCGTGCGGCCCAGGTTCGATCCTCAGCACCACATACAAAACAAAGATGTTGTGTCCGCCGATAACTAAAAAATAAATATTAAAATTCTCTCTCTCTCTCTCTCTCTCTCTCTCTCTCTCCCTCTCTCTCTCTCTTAAAAAAAAAAGGAAAAGAAGAACTCAAATTGGCACTATTTACTGATGATGATTCTATACCTAAAAGACCCTAAAAGCTCCACCAGAAAATTTCTAGAACTAGTAAATGAATTCAGCAAAGTAGCAGGATATAAAATCAACACCCATAAATCAAAGGCATTTCTGTGTATCGGTGACAAATCCTCAGAAATGGAAACAAGGAAAACCTACCCTATTTATAATAGCCTCGAAAAAATAAAATATAATACTTGGGAATCAACTTAATGAAAGAGGTTAAGGATCTATATATTGAAAAGTATAAAACCCTAAAGAAAGAAGTCAAAGAAGACCTTAGAAGATGGAAAGATCTACCTTGCTCTTGCATAGGCAGAATTAATATTATCAAAATGACCATACTACCAAAAGCCCTATAAAGATTTAATGCAATTCCAATCCAAATCCCAATGACATTCCTCATAGAAATAGAAAAAGCAATCATGAAATTTATCCCATGTCATTTTCAAGAGCCCAGGAAAACATCCATATACAAGTCTGGGAACATTTGTTTCAAGTCAACTGCATGAAGGAATTAAGTTCATTAAGCCCAGGAGAAAAATAAAAAAGTTGAATTTTTAGGAAATTCAGATTAAGGAATTCAATTCAGTGAGTCAAATGTAAAATATATGAACAATATTAAACGTCTAAAGTTCTTGCCTTTCAAAAACTGGTTTTCAGACACATCTATTTGATTTATAACTATGGATTATTTTGCTTTGGCTTTAATTTATTCTTTAGGATTGAAAAACATAAGTTACACTGAATCATTATGAATCTTAATTTATTACTATTTAACTCTACCAGTATAGGTAGAAGACAAACCAGTTAATAATGCTCTCAATGTAACTAATTAGTAAGGTAACACTCAGATATTGTGGCAGACACTATTACCTGCTCAGTGATCATGCCCCTCCTTCCTAATAGAGTCCCAATTTGGGTTGAGGCAAAGATTTCTTTATTTGAGAATGAAAAAAGAAAATCAGTGTCCCAGGGTCATATAAAGTATCTTTTTGGCCAATAAATGTAAGCATATGGAAGGGATTCTGAGAAAACTATTATTCTCTGGAAAGAAAGTAACAGATCCAATTGGCACACATATTGTATTTGCCCTTTTCTTTTTCCTCTTCTTTCTCCCCACAAGTAGAATAGCTATCTTGTGACCAAAAAATGGGAAGAAAAATTGGATGAAAAGCATCTGTCAAGGGGATGGGTGGACCAGGAAGCCAGAAAGAATAGCCTATGCATCTCGAGACATTATTTTATGAGAAAAATAAATCCTTCATTTGTACCTCTATTGTGTGAAGTTTTTTCTTTTTCATGCAGCTAAAGGCAATAATGGTAACACAAATATTATATTTAAAATTGAAAATAACTCCAGTTTTGAGGAGTATGATAATTACCTTAACAAGTTTCTGCACATCACTTTTCATGAGGGTTCTATCCATGTTAAAGCCATTACTTGGATCCAGGACAACAGCTTTCACCTGAGAGTAGGAAGAGTTCATCAAGCAATTTTATTTCATATTATCATGAAATTAACTTACTGTGCTTCCTTCTTTTAAACAACTACCTCTTGATTACTCAAAAATGATTTTTTAGGTATTTTTCCTATGATCCAACTCATCAACCGCTTCAATACAGGGTGAAGAAAGGGAGTAGTAAACATCAAATCTGAAAATGGTGCTAGAAAAATTAGATGGGGAGGGGTTGGGGTTGTAGCTCAGTGGCAGAGTGCTTGCCTAGCATGTGTGAGGCACTAGGTTCGATTCTCAGCACTGTATGCAAATAAATAAAATAAGGGTCCATTAACACTTAAAAATATATTTTTAAAAAGGGTATATGGGGAAATAAGTTAAAAGCAATGGTAAGATTTTAGATTGGAAAACTATAGTATATTTAATCATATTTTCATTGTGTATTATTAGTTAACCAAACAATAACAGATATACCCAGAAACTCAAGTTGAGGCAGTAGGATCACAAGTTCCAGGCCAGTCTGGGTGACTTAATAAGGCCACGTCCAGAAAAGAAGGAAGGAAGGAAGGAAAGAAAGGAAAAAAAGATAAGTATGTAGGTATGGAAGGAAGAGAATGGCAGCAGGGAGGCTGGGGATGTAGCTTAGTGGTAAAGCACTTGGCAAGCAACAGGCCCTGGGTTCCATTCCCAGCACCAGAGAGAGAGAAAGGAAAAACTAAAATTTTTTAAAAATCTTACAAATTTAAAAAAAAAAAAATTGACATGCTTTCCAGACATTTAAAAGTTATTTTTCACTAACTTGTCTGAAGAGGTCAGTATGTTTTCAACCAAAAAACATCTAGGAAAGCGTCACAGAATTTTAAGGGAAAAATGGACACCACATTAAAAAATGTTAATAAAGAAATAATTTGCATCAACAGTCATTCTTACCATAAAAGCAACCAGAGTTTCAGAAACAATCTCTCCATGAGCTGCACATTCTTGTCCTATTTCTCGTATGATATTCTTTATAACACTTTCTGCTTGAGTGAGAGGCATTCTGGCTAAATAAAACAATGATTTGTTTTTTTAATAATTGCATTTATATATTAATTTTTCTCTTCAGGTTTCTCCACTATTTATAAGGAGACATAATACTATTTGTTAACTTGTTGCTATTTAATTATTAGCATCTAGGCCCCTCCTGTTTCTTTTTAAATGAAGGGCTTTAGAGGTTTAGCACTATTTGAAGGAAAAAATGAAGAAACTTAACCCCCTGATCCCCCATGAAGGCAGCAGAGTACAGCCTAAAAAAGGAAATGCTTATAAATGCTATTCCAGCACATCCAGTAAATGACCTTTCAAATCTAAGGGAATTTGGGGAAAAACAATTTGTTCAGGTCATTGAAATTCTCTTTTCTCCACATCCAAGTTGTAATATTAACTCTATTTAAGAAAAAACATTAAAGGAAAAAAATTCAGTTAAGTATCATAGAAAAAATGAATTCCTGGTTATTAATTTCACTTATTGGAACAGTGGTCCACTTTACCATTTGAATATAGCCTTTGCTGCTCTGCCACTGCAAATTATTTTTAAAATGGACATGTTTCTTTCTCTTCCTCTCTCCCAGCTCTCCTCTAATCTCACCCTGTCCCTAATCTCAGGGGAAACAGGATTACCTTTCTTGCCCATTTTAGGCAGATTTATTTGTCCTTGAGTACACATCCATCATAGGAAAGAAGTAACCCAGACTTGGGAGACGGTAGGAGAAGATTTCTGAAATGACTATCTCCCAAATTAACAAGTGAATTAAACTCCAACAGAGTGGAATGTAGTCTTTGAATCACCTCTTTAAAAGCCCAGCATTCTGGCTGATGGGCAGAATCACTGCCTCTGGGACCCGAGTCCCGTGTTTCTCATTTGCTAACAAAGCAATAAAACTTATTTTTCCTTTTACTCAAAACTGTGTCCTTGGGCTGGGGTTGTAGCTCAGTGGTGAAGCGCTTACCTCGCGTGAGGCACAGGATTTGATCCTCAGCACCACATAAAAACAAAACAAAGGTATTGTGTCTATCTACAACTAAAAATAAACAAATATATATATATGTGTGTGTGTGTGTGTGTGTGTGTGTGTGTATAAAATCAACAACAACCCAACCGCGTCCTCATTATTGTATTGGCATCAGGGACAAGGACCAAGCTTTCGATGACATTATAAACCAGGAAAGAGTGGTAGGTTTTAATCAAGCTTCCTCATTTTCCTGATTATCAGTTAGAGGAACTTAGCATATAGTGAATAACAAAAGCTACTCTAGGTAAAATTGACGCTCAGCATCTGCATGGGGAGGATAGGTGAGTGACATTTGGCGTTTTGTCTAGGAACACAAGCTGGCCTGGCTTTCAACGTGACCTGGCCATAACTAAGATCTGGGCACTTGCTTCACCCTTTGGGAGGCAGTTCCCTCACCTGGGGGAAAAAAAAGGAAACTCCCTCTAACGGAGTTATTGAGTACTAAGTGAATTCATATATTTAATAGCTAAAAATGTGCATAGCATAAGGTAAGCGGTTAAAACAGTGGTTTTGAAATAAGAAGCCAAAGAACGTGGCCGCGCAAATTTGGCACGGGTGTGAGACTGTGAAGGACACCCCTCACAGGGTGGGTGTGAGACCTGCGCCTGGAAGGCTCAGGCGCCCCTGCAGAGCGGCTGAGAGGTCTGACCTGGGCGCCTCCGGCCGCAAGCGGCCCCCCGTTCCCTCTCAGCGGCGGCGAGGTCCTCCAGCAGCCCCGGCTCTGCCCGCAGCACCACGCTCGCTCCTCACACCGGAAGTTCAGGGCGCGGAGCCCCGAGTGGCCTGACCTTGGCTGGAGCCGAAAGCAGAAGCCGTGGCTGCGCCGATCCTACCTCCAAGCTTTCGCTGAGGCCTTCGCGGCCGCAGGGCGATCTTCGCTACCGCCGCGTAACCATGGAGACCTAACGCTGTGGGCGGGCCCCGAGTGTGGGCGGGGCCTGTGGGCGAGGCGCGCTCCTCCGGGAGGACCTTTCCCCAGAGAGGGCGGGAGAGTTAAAACCAAAGAAACTGGAGGACTGAAATCTCCGACGGAGAAAGGCACGTTCGCTCGTGCCACACCTCAAAGGTTAAGATGTGGACACGAAGGTTTTAAACCAGAATATGAACTTGCTAGCGCGGGAACACAGAGGGTGACTTAAAAGCGGAGGGATGTGGAGGGGTAAGGGAAGAGGTTGGGATCCTTAATAGACTTCTTATAAAAGTATCTAGTTTTAAAAAATAATGCAGTTTTATTTAATGCACTGTTACTGAAAGGGGGGTCTGTAACAGGGTGCTCCAAAATTCCCAAGGTTTACAAATGAAACTGCATATTTAAACAAATTAAACCCTAACCCTAACCCACATTTTAGAAGTACAAGATAAGGACCCTCTGTGTTGGAGTAGGGATAATGTCGTTTTCTCACTTAAAAATAATGTTCGTTATGCTCTCCTTCAAATATGAAGGTGTGGAACAAGGTTGAACAGACATTAACAACAGAGTCTCAAATAACAAAGGCTTATTTTTAAACAGTAATTTTCTCAAATTGTGAACGCAATTCGCGTAGTATACTTAAGGGTGTTCGGAGATTACTAGGAAATAACAAAACTCAAGAATACACAGGTCAATGTGCAGTAAATTTTATTTATTTCTTCCTAGAAAACTTCCTGAAACGTAGATGAAGCCTATGTTAAAATAGTGTTCAAGGTAGCAATTTTTATAATAGCACAACACTGGAAATCCAAACATCTGATATTTAAGGAATATTGATAAAATGAAATGTTAATCATTAAAAATAAGAACAATAACTTTGTGTGTGTTTTGTATTTTTAAAATTCAAATGCAAAAATTATACATAATATAACTATAGTCACATATAACTATAGTCAACTATAGTCACATGCACATCATATATATAAAGTTCAGAACTGGGGTTGTAGCTCAGTGGTGAGCATTTGCCTCACAAGCAATGGGTTCAAACCTCAGCACCACATTAAAAATAAATAAGTAAAACAAAGATATTGTGTCCATAAAAAAAAAGTTTATAAGTCAATTTATCCATATCACAGAAGTATTTGTATCTGAGGATGGAATTATGGGTAAATAAATTTTTATTTATTTTATGTATTTCTATATTTTCTATGAAGAGTATATACTTTCTTGTGATCTGTAAAATAAAATTTTAAAAATTAATGAGGAAAAATTCTGGCTAAGGGTTGGGGTTGTGGTTCAGTGGTTGAGCACCTGTCTAGCACGTGCGAGGCCCTGGGTTTAATCCTCAGCACCACATAAAAATAAATAAAATACAGGTATTGTGTTCAACTACTTATAAAAAATAAATTTAAAAAAAACTCTGGCTATTTATAGAGACGGAATTCAATTAAGTATACAAATATACTTAATATGTAAAGTATATATTACTTATAAGTTAAAACATTAATATTTTAAGATGGTAAGAATAATTTCATCATGTTAAGTATAATTTTAAAATAGTACAAACCCTGGCATAAATACTTCCTTATGTGTCTGATACTACTAATTCCCTATTCAATATTATTTTCTTCTCCCTGCTTACTAACTCTGTACTGAGAATGATAGTATATTCTCTCTCTCTCTCTCTCTCTCTCTCTCTCTCTCTCTCTCTCTCT